TTGTAACGTCCCTTCATTCTTCTTTCATATACATTTTTAAAGCCACCTTTTTATCAGACACTCCGATAACTGGCTTACTCTCCGACATTATATGTATATGTATATTGAAGGGTTACAGGCAGAGCCCTTGATGACCCTATTTATGTACAGTGCTTTCGCAGATTCATACTCAAAAATAAAATAAAATTGCAGGCATTTAAAATGTGATTGGGTCACAGTTCAATCGTAGTCATAAGGTAGTGCATAGGGTCACTGTAACTTAGTGCGGAAGATTGTATATGACAGATTTTACAAAACTGGCTGTGCATAGTCATGCTGTACAAGCCGATTTCTGTCGAAAACTAGACGAGCAAGTTTTCTTTTAAACACACAAACTGTGTCAGCCGTCACCATCTCGCTTGGAAGCGAGTTCCACGGCCTGACAACCCGCTGGCTGAATGAAAATTTTCGTCGGTCTAAACGCGTGCGTTCATTCGCGACTTTGTATGCATGGCCGCGTAGTTGGTTTGATCGGGCGAACTCAAAGAAGTCATCTGCTCTTAATGAGCAACCCTGGCCGCGAATAATCCGGAACGTCCAGAGTAGACTGCAGTTTATTTGTCTATAAGAGAGAGGGAATAGACCAAGCAAATTCAGCCTCTCCTGATAAGACAAATGCTTTAGACCGTCGACCATCTTTGTCGCTCTGCGTTGCACCTGTTCGAGTAAGTTGATATCCTTCCTCATCCATGGTGAAGCTGCTGGCATTCCATACTCTAGATGAGGTCTTACAAAGACACCAAAGAGTCTTTCGAAAAGTTCGGGAGGAAATATTTTAAATGCGCGTCTGATCCAGTGTAGAGTATTAGTAGCCTTCTGGACCATCTTTCTGCAGTGTTTTGATGGCGATAGATTTGTGGTCGTCCATACACCCAGATCTCTGTGTCTTTCCACAGTTTCTAACCTCGTACCGTCAATATAGTACTGGTGTTTGGGAGAGGCATTGCGGCCGGTGTTCAGGTGCAAAACCACGCATTTGGACACGTTAAACTTCAAAAGCCACCTGTTCGACCAAGCACACAGTTTGTTGATGTTCGACTGCAACTTCTCTGCGTCATCATCGCACTTGACTTCACTCCATATTTTTATGTCATCCGCGAACATGAGAGCCTCGCAATTCACTTCGCTGATGCAGTCATTAACATAAATCAGGAAGAGCACTGGGCCTAAGACAGAACCCTGTGGGACACCACTTTCCACCTTTACCCATTCCGAGGCAGAATTACTAACGACGACTCTTTGTAGTCTGGAGGACAGAAAACTCCTGATCCACTTAAACATTCTCCCTTGAATCCCTACATCCCAGATCTTTCGTAAAAGAAGCCTGTGTGGGACACTGTCAAAGGCCTTCTTGAAGTCAAAAAATATGACATCTACTGGAAAACCCTTATCGGTAGCTCGTGTCCATTTCTCGTGCGAGTAAAGAACACTTGTTAGGCAGGGGCGCCCTGGACAAAAGCCGTGTTGGGCATCGCACAATATTTTGTTCTGTTCCAGGTACTTCATCAAGTGTCTTTTGATAATGCGTTCCATTAATTTACACGCGATGCAAGTAAGACTGACAGGACGATAATTTCCGCAGTCAAGTCTTGAGCCTCCTTTATGGATCGGAGTAATGAGTGCGCACTTCCATTCTTCCGGGAGCTCGCCGTCTTCAAATGACTTTTGAAATATTGCGGATAAGGGTTTGCACAGTTCATTAGCAAGTTCACGAAGTGCTAGGGCGGGAATTCTATCTGGGCCAGGCGATTTGGCAGGTTTCAGCCGGAGTTGCTCGGCCCTAACTATGGTAGATGAAAAGAGTGGTTCCTCGGTTAAGGAGGGTAGGGAGGGGATAGGATGGGGGAGGGTACTGGGAGGAGAGGTTGGTTGGCGAATGGATGGATGGGCAAATATAGCACTAGGTTCTCGGGTGAAGACGGACTGAAAGAAGTCGGAAAGGAGGAACGCTTTAACCTGGTCATCAATCTCCACTTTTCCATCTGCAGACCTGAGGGCAGGGATGAGCTCCTGAGTCCTTTTAGTACTTCGTATTTAACCATATAGAATTTTCGGATGTTCCAACGAATTTCGGAGTATGTTTAGTTCAAACTTCTTTCGCAGCTTTGAGGCCTCACTTTTACAGACGTTTCGTTGCCGCTTATATTCCTGTAAGTGTTCGTCGGAGCCAGTTACTCTGTAACGCCTCCACAGACGATTCCTTTTTCTGAAAGAGGCCTTCAAGTCCGGGTTTATCCATTTTGGGCGGTTTGTGATTTTCTTTCTTCTGAGAGGACAATTGGAATAAACAATCTCTTTCAGTAAGGAACTGAAAGTATTCCAGTTATCGTTTGCTCGACCATGCAGTTCAGTCTCCCATGATAAAGCTGCCGCTTCCCTCCTCATGAGAGGATAGTCCCCTTTCCAAATGTTTCTCTCCCACCTCTCGGGTTGGACGGGTTTGAAAAACAGTGAGTACTCGAAGTAGAGCGTGATGTGGTCGCTTGACCCTAATGGCTGTCGGTCCTGCAGGTCTGACACATTTTCCTCCTCTCGGGTAAAAATAAGATCAAGGCAGTTCGACTGCTGCCCTTCCCTGACCCGTGTTCCAAAGGTAACATTCTGGCAGAGAAGTTTGTCCGTTGCCCATTGTAGTAGTTTATATAAATTAAATAAATTTTAATTTAATGCCAGTTTACAGGCATTGTCAAGGGAAGCGATTAAACACAAATCCGACCAGCAGTGAAAAAAAAAACTCCTGAGCTTAAGGCATAAAAATATAGTTGATGGTGGTTTTTGTGGTTTGGAGGGCTCAGGAGAAAAAAACTGTCGGCGGTGGTAGAATATCGACCGTCAAGAAGGGGGGAGGTTGCACGGTATCGGAGATTATCGGACGTCAAATTCCTTTTATGAAGTTGGGGATAGTCAAAGTAGAGGCGTTGAGGAACAGCTGGTGAGACCGGCCATAGTGTTCAGAGACCACAAACGCCATCGGTACGGTACAGTCGATCAGTAGATTCAGCACCCAAAATTTGTGGGAGCTTTTCTGAATGCAAAAATCGAGTAATAGTTCTCTTAAATAAAGGAAAATTTTGCAGAGTTTTCACACTCATTGGTAGTTTATTCCAAATAGCAATTGCATTTACAGAAAAGAACCGGTCAGAAGTATGGTTAGGTGAACGGTACACTACCGAAAGCGTCAATGATCGGACATTCTTTGTAGATATGGTAACGCTTAGCAGTTCCACATCCCGTACCGGTCTATGTACATCAGCCATAGCGCTTAGCTTGCAAGTGACATAAATTATGACTCCTCCTCCTCGGCTTAGTCTATCTCTCCTGAATTGCTGATATCCTCTTAGTGATATTTCTGAATCTGCGATATCTTCAGTAAGCCACGTTTCTGTGAATGGCATAATGTCTGGCTTAATTTCATCAACTAAGTCTCTTAGTTCGTCTAGTTTGTTGAAGAGGCTTTGCACATTTGCGGATATAATCTTCAATGACTGATTCGTTGGAGAGGTCCGGCCTTCATTGTGACGGGTTCTGACCACAGGAAAGACCCCTTTGCCTGGAATATTTGTCCATTTTTGATCTTCAGCCCTTTCTCTCCTCTGCCAATTCTCTCCTTCAATTCTGATATCAGTTCTCTCATTTTCAGTCTTTCCCTCGGTTCGTAGTCTGGTTGAAAAAACACTTCCTTTTGCGAATTGCGTAAGGTCGTTCTACTTTCTAACAAAAGCGCTGCTTGGGCTTCGTTCTCCAAAATAACTTTCAGGGGTCTTGGGGATGTTTTTAGGTCACGATTTGGGTCCGCTCTGTCTAGTCGGAAAGCTTTTTTAACGGTGAATATTTCCCCATCCTGCAGGACGGCACTGGCGTACTGATGAAGAAGGTCTAGGTCGTGCGTCACTCGTTCCTTCGGAATGCAGGACGTGGACTCTGGGGCGCCCCTTATGACAATATTTTGCTTACGATTTATGGAAGAGCTCATTACTGTCCCGTCCGCGCTAGGACGATATAATGCTACTGTAGTATTCCCGACGGCTGTTGTCACTTCGACATTTGAATGATTTTCGGCCGGCGAAGGGAGTTTAGGGCATGGATTTTCATGTGACGTACTTACTCCGGCAGTGGAGCTCTTACAATCATTACCCTGTTGCAATGTACTGCACGAAGGCTTATCGTGTCCTTTTCCATAAACGGAATGGTTAGGGCACTTTCCAGATGAGTTAGCCTTGTGAAGAAGTGGAGTAACAGCATTGCCTTCCAAGAATAACGGCGAGTCCTTGTAGTTTCTAACAGATCTTCTGAGGGTCACCCTGGCTTTCCCAACTTTAGTGTTCGATGATTTGGCAGGTTTAGTTACTATAGCAGGTAATGAAACCTGACTTATTTTTAATGCATTAGTGTCGACCGCCACGTTATCCACCGGAACTGATTTCTCTAGAGTTTCCTCTGGAGACATAACTCGCTTCCTCTTCCTGACTGGCTTTGACTTATCCGCGCTAGTGCCTTTATTAGTAGGATGTTCGTCGCCGATCGACCGGAAATTTGGCGGATTATTTGGTAATTCTATCTTACTGTGCTTAAGGATAACCATGATGATGTCCGTCAGTAGGCCTTGCTTCTCTTCTAGCGTCTGGACCCGCTTTTCAAGTTCCTTACAGCCGACACAGCGACCGACAAGCGCAGAATCCGTCCCGTCTGTCATACAGTTTTCGAGGCCTCTTGGCAGTGCATCGGTTCTTATTTCCTGTCTTATCTCTTCGAGCCTATTGTGCGTAATCTCCCTAGAGTCTAATGATTCCAGCGGCATTTTATCGCAAGAGACTGCAAGTACGTGTCCTTTAAAAACAACAACCAGTATTACCTTATCCCCCTCCTTCACACAACTACATTCCCGTGATTTATATTCCACTGTCTGCTTTTTACAGATGTATTTCTGCATTTTACGACTTACGATGTAACATTTGCTACAGATGTATTCCGTGGTTGAATTTTTCAACGACAAATCTGTGGCGGAAGTGGCTGAAGCCTGGTTCTACAACGCGGGCAGCGTACTATGGCCTAAAAAGCACAGGCAGCGCCGCATTTTGCTGGAGAACAACCAGCGGCCACCGGATGGTACTAAGGCGTACGCCGTCAAGGTACTAAAAAGTGGCCTAACGCTGGAAAAAGCTCGACAGGCGGCGCGGAGAGCACAGAATACTGACAATCTCTCCAGTTCCGAGCCGCGCCAGTTGAGTAGGGGCAAGAGGATCAGGTGTGCTACCATGTTATATACAACTAATTTTCCTTTGCAGATATAATCGCAAACTAACCTCAGACTCCGACGACGAGGACTCGCCAAACCAACCGAAAGAGCCAACTGGTTGGCCAGCTCCACCGCCAATACTACAGTAAGTATGACTATTGTAGACATTTCGTAGGCCAAGAACGGAGGAGAATGTGCCACACTTGTTTTCCACTGCGTCGATTGGACCCATTCAGTCAACACCACTGTCCTCACTTGAGTAGACAACGCTTATCATTTATTACTTTAGACACTCCACGACAAATTCGTCATATGTTTCCACGGCTACAATTGCGACGGAATTTAGCCAGCAGGTGCAAAAGGACATGGCTGACATAAAAGGTCAGTTAACAAACACAAATGTCCGGCTAACGGCACTTGAGTAAGACTGTGAACAATCTCCCTAACAAACTATTAGGGGAAGGAACGATTTCCTAGCTGAGCAACTTATGGCTCTTCATAGCAGTGTGCAGCAGATGCAGGCAACACTATTAGATGTTGTCAATGCATTGCAGAGAGCCTCCAGCGCCGGTTCTGTCACATCCTCCTCCCTAAATTTACCGCTGTGTACCGAGGAGGCATACGAAAACTTTCTTCCTCGGCTCAGCGTAGAAGACGGTTTTGCAAACGAGGCGGTATGTGCACATCTACTTGACTGTTTTCAGATCCGGCAACTGGCCATGGTAGGTGGTCGAAATGAGGCAGACTTCCTCAGAAACCTACTGACGGTTCTATTGGGCCCGCCCTTATGCCACAACTTCTGTTGGGCGGGCGGATCCAAGGAGAAGAAGTCCTTCATGGCCTGTCCACTTTTTTCTGTCCTTAAAGGTAAGTCCAATTTTTGTTTATTTTCACGCACAGATGCCATTGCCCAACATCCCCGTTTTGGTAACTGCACTACAGAGATATTTCGACGGACAGCAATCAGGTGGTTTCATGGATCACAGGACCGGTACGAAGGAAGATCGACACGTCGGCGGAACATTCGTCAGGTACAAACTTTCGGGATTTTCGTCCACATTTATTTAGACTACAGAAATCACCATACCTGCCGCCACATGCCCACAATTACCACCCGCCAAAGAACCGGTAAGCAAATTGATCGAATTGCCAATCCTACACAGCATGCTATTTACTTCATATGATTATTACTATTAAAATCGTACGTATTAGATACAGTGTATAATTACTTCCGTTGCGCCTGCATTACGTATGTCTTGCGAAAGTTTTTTTATGCAGGAACTACCAATGGCCAGTGGAAGTGACTTCTCATCCTGGATACGAAGGTCGCTGAAACCCCCATGATCCAAGACAGACTTTGTACATTTACATTTTTTGACTTATGTATTCACTAAATCGTCCTTCCACAATACCGCCTTCCGACTTTACCATCTTCGGTATCCGCATTTGCCCTTTAGTGGGCCACTTACCGCCGTAGCCTATCTTGTTTGGGACGTGGAGGTTCACTGTGACTCGTTTCGAGGTTTTACGTTAGGCGACCGTTTGTCATGGTTGGCGTTTACTGCCAAAAAATCGAGGCCGCGATGAATGGAAAAAAACGAGAAAAAGCCCGCGCGCAAAATTTTCTCCAAAGTGCGGCCAAGTGTGGCCAATGTGTTGATGGCCAGACCACAGCCACACCATTTGGCCACACTTGGCCGCAGCATAGCCGCGTTGGCCACACCATATTTGCCTCGGCCAGGTGCGGCCAAGTGCGGCTGGTGCTGGCAGGGAATTTTCGTCAAGAAACGGTGATAAATATTCACTTCACCGCAAAGCTCTTCGCACTGAGTATAAATAATTTGCAAGCAAAATTTAATGTTAGTGTCAATTTTGAAATCAGGGTCGTTACACTTGTTAACTGAGGTGGTCACCGAAATGGTTAGGAATGGCAAAGCCCATACGAAGACTAATGTTTATCATGACGCAGTCATTGATGTTTCGGTAAAAAAACACCAAAACGGCGTGCTTTGTGACTTTCAGCGCAAAGGCTTCAACGACGTCCCAAAAAGTGAAATACTCAACGGCGAAATGTCGAAATTAATTTTGAAAGACGCGGAGATAGACAAATAGACAAACATGCCCGCTTTAAGATCGAGGAGTCCACATTTGACCTCTCTTTAGGTTGCTGGTATAGCTTTACGATCCACCTTTAGACTTCTCCCGAAAAACTTTTATGCTGAACGTGCGTTATTATCGCGGAAGGGAAGAGGTGTTAATGCGTATTTAATTCAATTTGATTATATTACCTTTCTAACTCATAGTCGACTTTGAGCGTCCAAGAACTTGATGATTGCTTATTCCCATCGTATCCTGTTAAAGAATACGCCTTAATGTTCCACTGTCAGCCGTTTTTATAAGGAACTTACAAGAACCTAGTTTACATTTTTTATCCATTCCGATCCCTTGTTTGCGTGGGATGTTCCAGAGTTAAGCTGGAACCCAACTTCTCGAAAATTCGTGCATACAGCGAAAGTATATGCATTGCAAGAGAAGGTTTCGGGGTTCTTAGGGATGAAAGATTCACGTTTACGCTAAATTTGACCTTTAAACCCGACTTATGACTTTAAATCCATCACCATCTAGGTCACGCGGCCCAAAAGCTAATCAGAAAACTGCCCGACTTTAAGTTCAGTTGTGTAAACGAGCCCAGATATCAGTACGAGAGACGGCCCAAGGAAGTAAGGCTTTGGCAACTCCTATGTACTTGAACGCCTATGTACAATAAGAAACTAAAGAGGGGAAACCTAATTACAAAAATAGACTGGGGCAAGGAGAAATTTCCAGCGGGATGGGCGGAGGCACAGGGATCCAATGGAGACAGCGACGGAGGTCCCACGTCCGAAGGCTGGCGGCCGGCCACGGGGTTCCCGGAGGTTAATCCTCGCCCGTATTTATAGCTTTTCCAGGGCGGAAGTCATCAAGGTTGGGTCGCCATCGTTGATTGGTTAAGGGTAGGTTGGGGATGGAAAGTTAAACAAACTTAGACCAGGGCTATTTTGCCTAAATTTAGGGCTATAATAATTAATTATATGCATACTTTTTGTAAGAAGCCAGATTGCGACTAACCGCCTTGCGTATAAATATCGGAAAGTTCGGCGGGCGCGCCCCGTAAGGGGCGCGCTTTCTAGAACCTTCTCCAAGATGGCCGCCGCACGTGGTCTGGCATTCTAAAGTTTCCTACATTGCTCCCCCCTGCGAAAAGGGTCTGCTGTCCTCAGCATAATCGTCTAGTACGATAGCGGGTCCACGGTCTGACAGCACTTCGACTGTCTTCTCTACGGGGTGTCCATCTCTGAGTACCTCAGCCGAAGCGTATCCACCCTCCGGGGGAACCTCTAAATACTGGTCGACTAGCTGGTAGTTGTATGCGTGGAACGGGCCGGCCCCTGAATCGGCATGGCCTGAGTCCTCCTCTGTCGGTGAACCTGGCTTTAGGCGATTAAAGTGTACCGTAAATTCTTCCGAGTACGGTCTGTCTTGGCTGCGAACGACACAAGTCGTGTCGGAGAGGACCTTTCTAACCACGTACGGACCTACCCATGCTGGATTAAATTTCTGAGGCACGCCCGGCGACGGTGCGAAATTCCGCATCCACACGATGTCGCCCTCTTGATATGGGGTCCCGTGTGCTAGGCGGTCATAGAATGCCTTCTGACGGCGCTGACCTTCTTGGAGATGCAGTCGCGCTTCCTCCGATGCTATACGCAGGGTCTTACGCATCCTCGAGGCGTACGTGTCAACGGTCTCCACGGGGTGTGTAGGGGGTAGGTGGAGATCCTCAGAGAGTTGCATCTCCCTCCCGCACGTTAGGAAAAACGGCGTGTGTTGCGTAGTGGCGTTTACCGTGGATCGGTAAGCCAACATGCACGCTGGCAAGGCCTCGTCCCATGTGGATGCTGAATTCCGGTCGACAAAAGCCCGCAAAAGGTTGATCAGCGTCCGGTTCGTCCTTTCCACCTGTCCGTTGCCCTGTGGGCGATACGCGGTAGTGCGGGTTTTCTTAATTTTCAGGGCCCTACACAACTCGTGTACGACGCTGCTCTCGAACGACGAGCCTCGGTCTGAGTGGAGTTGGTCCGGGGCTCCCCAGCGGCAGATCCACCCGTTGAAGATGGCTCGGGCTACTGTGGGGGCAGACGCATCTGGTAGGGGTACTGCCTCAGCCATCTTGGTGAAACAGTCTACCATGACGAGAATAAACCTATTTCCCCTCGCGGATGGCGCGATCGGACCAACTAGGTCTACCGCTACCCTCTCGTTGGGGTAGCCTGTCTGAATTGGCTGTAGCGGGGCTCTGTAGGCGTGCCCGGGGGACTTAAAGCCTAAACACCGCTCACAAGACCGGACAAAGTTCTGTATGTCGGTCTTCTGATTCGGCCAGTAGTAACGCCGGCGGAGTGCCCACTCGGTCTTGTGGATGCCGGAATGCCCTAGTTCCGCATGCATCCTTTTGACCACGTCGTCCACCATCGAAAGCGGTAGGACGACTCGCCTTGGGTATTGTTCGTTGTCACGATAGAATAGAACACCATTTTCGATGAACAATTTGTCCCAAAGGCTATGCAGGCATCGCGTCTCATAACTACAACCCGCTAGCTCAGCTTTATTAAGGGGCCTACCGTTACTAACCTTCCTATCATATATGGGACGTACATGAGGGTCATCCCGTTGGGCTGCGGCTCAGAAAAGACACTGATCGCTTTGCAAAGCGATAGTGGAGATGGTGATGTCCGTGCATGACGGGCACTCCCCGTGGGGGCGGTGCGGTTTCCTCGAAAGGGCATCGGCATTACCATGTTGGCGACCGGGTCGGAACACGCACTTAAAGTCGTATTCCGCCAACTTCTCCTGCCACCTCGCTACTTGACCTTCAGGATTCTTAAAGTTTCTTAGCCAAGTCAAGGCACTATGGTCAGTACGTACGACGAACGGCCGGTACTGGAGATATGGCCGGCATTCTTCCACAAAGTGTGTGAGCGCCAACATCCCTTTTCGAGTCACGCAGTAGCGCCGTTCTGCTTTGGTCAACGATCTACTTAAATACTGAATGACGCGCTCGGTACCGTCTGACTGTTGTTGGGAGAGAACCGCGCCGATTGCGGTGTCACTGGCATCGGTATCCAGGATGAACTTCCCGGCATCATTACTAATATCAGGAAAGGCTAGAATTGGGGTGGCGCACAGCTTATCCTTCAGCGTCTGGAAGCTGTTTGTGCAGTCAGCAGTCCACTTAAACTTAACGTTTTTCTGCGTAAGCTTGTGGAGCGGCCCGGCAATTGGGGCGTAGTCCTTAATAAATCGTCTGTAATAGGAGGTGAGGCCTAGGAAGCTGCGGACCTCCGCCACTTCTGAGGGGATGGGCCACTCACGGATTTGTGTGACCTTTTCGTCATCAATCTCTACCCCTGCGGCTGAGACTACATGACCTAAGAACTTCACGCGGGGCTTTATGAAGACACACTTGGATGGCTTCAGGGTTAACCCCGCCTGTCGGAGACTGCTAAACACAGCCCTGATATTATTAAGGTGACTATCAAAGTCCTTTCCGAGGACAATTATATCATCCATGTAAACTAGACACGAGGTTGGTATTAACTGTGCAAGAACCTGATTCATCAACATCTGAAAAGTGTTGGGGGCATTGGCGAGGCCGAAAGGCATCGTCTCGAACTCGGAGACACCAGAGGGGACCGCGAATGCAGTCTTTTCCCTATCTGAGGGACGCACTTCAACTTGCCAGTAGCCTGAAGCTAAATCAAGCGTTGAAAACATAATATTGCCAGCGATGGCGTCTAAGGTGGTATCTATCCGTGGGAGAGGAAAGGAATCTTTCTTAGTCACAGCGTTTAGCTTCCTATAGTCTATGCACAGTCGCATTGAGCCGTCCTTCTTTTTCACAAGTACAATGGGAGATGACCAGGGCGACTGAGAGGGCCTTATAATATTACGACTAAGCATATCATTGATAAGGGCGCGCTTTCTAGAACCTTCTCCAAGATGGCCGCCGCACGTGGTCTGGCATTCTAAAGTTTCCTACACTTGTGAAATGTCGGGCTGCGTTGGGACCCCTCAGCTGTTGGAGACCGGTTGTGTGAGAATACCTGCTATGTTGTCGAATCTGCTTTACTTCGACTTTGTTCTATTATAGTACACCAATTTCTCGCATCTTTTCCATTTGTTAGCGATACTTACAATATGATGAGCGGACATGGTGATGAGGCAACCATAAAATTCATAATCTATTAGATTTGGGTCCACAGACGCACTGACATGACCTAGATGACGATGGCTTACAGCATCCGCGAAGACATTTGGCCCGGAAATCTCTGGTCTTTGATGTTTAAGGCAATTGAGCGGTCACATTTATAATCGAATATAGTGGCCTTTACGGTACCAGAGGAATGACAGATATGTTTATGGAAGCTTTTCTTATGCCACCATACCACGACTTACAAATATTTGTGGTTAGACTCCTGCACTCTAGAGTTTTTGTCTCCGATCCCAGCTTCTATTGGAATACTATAGTATTTGCCCTTTTCATCAGGCTCAGCCATATTTCTAGGCGTCCATTGTAGATACGCTAGAATGAACGAGCTGAATTGGCTATCGGCAAGTCATTTTCAGCTGGCCCGGATAGTTTTCATGGAATGTGCATTTGTAGACCAGTCGCCGTTGCTATGACTTGACCGAAGCCGTCATAGGATGGACTCACTTTTTTCAGTCCACTCGAGATTTGCGAGTCTGTGCGGCCACAGATACCAGGATCTTTTAATGTGCCATCATCAGACAGAACACATTGGGAGAAGTGCTTGAGGGCTGATGTGAGAATACGCAAGAAGCTTGTCCGCATCTGAGGATATTTTAAAACTAAGCAATACGAAGCCGCACGGCGCGTCAACGTTCTGCGCTACATGGTATCTGTGGTGCGCCTCCATGAATTCCATCTCTCCTTTCGAAGGCGTTGTGCCGGTGGTGATCTTACTCAAACAAAAGTTGTGATGTGCTTACATTGTCCGAAATTGCAACAGCTAGAATTGGGTCATTATGTGCTGATCATATAGATTTCTGTTCTACGTGTTCTTTCTTTAGAAGCGACTAAATTTGCCAAGGCATTTGATCTTTCCTTACTGCGAATGAAATCATCGGCCATCTGCTGTTGTTGTACATTTGGTAGACTGTTTAAATACCGTTAGCAGTGTTCTCCATTTTTGTTAAGAAAAAAATAGCAAGAAACGTTTGTCATCCCCCTTTATTTTTATCCGACATATGCCCACCTAAGTACTCGTTTTGCCCGTTGGTTAATTTGCCCGTTTCGACCTCCTTCGAATGCATGTAGTACATTTGTACCTCTCCTCTTCGATTTGCTTTTAGATGATTTTATCCTACATATATTTCTTATGCCTCTCCCCTGGGACTTTTTGTCCTGTACTCCTTTATACAGGTCTTTATTTGCCATGCATAGACTTGCAAAATCAAATTATGATCACGACATCCTCCACCTTGGGTATTAATGTCTTAATACAGCCGAAAGCCGGTTTCCATCGCATATTTTGTATCGTCCGGTATTTCAGCTCAGCGTTACTCTGTATTTACTGTATTTATTTTCCGTTAAACAGAAAAGATGTTGGGATTTGTTTTGGTTTCGTTCGTCGTTGGATGCCTATGCGATTAAATGTTCGAAAGCCAATTCCAGATGATACACACATAACCGCGCAGAAGTCTTCCTACAGATGGTAGGCACTAAACACTGCACTCACTTCACAAATGGCACAAATGACGAAATGTGTCAGTCACGCATGTTCCAATAAGTTACTGTTCAGCATACAGAACCGGCAGTTACTAGTGGCACACTCGACACGGTCTTATGTAATTAAGAAGGGCAAGGGAAGAACAGGTAATAATGCATAGCAATTTACATGCATAAGACGGACGATTATGCGCACCGTTGTGCAGCTAACGTCTCGTGAATGCAAGTCGGGTTGCCTTTTGGAGCCACTTATCTTTTATTATAGAAAGCGAGCGGATGCTGTGCTGTTGCCGGCGTTTGGTGAGTCAAGTTATCTTTTCCAACTGGTTATTTGACAGAGGGAAGGAGTAGGGAGGGGACGGCTGCGCCTTCGCTTGATGTTCAGAGCTGTCGTAGGCTGATAGATTAGACCTTTTGATGGCTTTTTCTTCTACTGAATATGAAGGGAACAAGTAAATTTGATTGGCTGGGCCTTCGCTTGATGCTCAGAGCCGTCTTAGGCTAATACATTGAACCGTTTGGAGGCTTTTTCTTCTGCTGAATATGAAGGGAACAAGTAAATTTGATTGTACATGCTAAACCGCTTTTTGGTACTTCAGCGTCACGTAAACCGTACGCTGACCATGTGAGTGGGCCGTGCTCAAACCCAAGTCTCGGATAGATCGGGAGGTAGATGCATTTGCCCCAGGGTGGGAAACTTGGATTTTTTGAGCATTTCCTTTGTTGCCATATAGCAGGATAGACAGGAACCCAGATTTTTCCGAAACCTAGCACATTTATAAAGGTAAGATGAAATGAATGAAATTTGCTGCGCGGTTTCGGAAGTTCTCCTTCTGACTTAGCCCAAACTTGTTTGCATGATTGAAATGACTGCAGGTTACTGGAAGTCCCTTTCTGATGCTTGCGACAAGGGGAGTATTTATCTTCTCCAATTTTGACAGCGTCTTGCCAGACATGCTCTCCTCCTTCATGCATATAACTGTGCGGTTTAATATAATAGATGCTTGTTATGGTTGTCTATTTGATAGAGGACGTTTTTTGCCATAAAATGACGGATATCTAAACGTGCTTTAGAAACACACGACGTTGCATGTTGTGGACATTGTACGTCCAGTTAGATGTGTGGGTTTTAACCGAGGTTCGTCTTTCTGATAGCATCTCCCTCCCAACTGCGAATCCTCATCCAGCGGAAGCGACTGGGCAAGCAGCGGTGATGAGTGGCGACCATCACCATCGCCATCGTCGTCATCCTCTTCAGCCAACTCCCAGTCAGCATGGACCCTGCCGAGTTCTCCGGCGGGCGACCCAAATGCGCCAACGGATTTGCCTGTTCCCGCGAAGACCTTTCATACGGGAACACTGATGGAGGATAAGCCTGCTGGTTTGTCTTTTGCTACTGTATCTTTTATGCATTCTCAAGGGATGCAACCAATTAAGCGTGAGATGGAAGAACCTGACGGCAAGGAAACTGCGCGAGATCCTGAAGACAATCGCTACCTGTGTGAGTGATGCTCACTTTTTCTGTCAGCCTTTACAACACATTGTCATTGAGATCCATGAGTGGTCTCTTTGTTTGGAAATTTATTTAATAACGACTTTCTGTATAGCCTGATATCCAGGTCTTTTAGGAGGCATTAACCGCGAGGAGATGCAAAAACATTTTTTGGGAAGAAAGAGGCCATACTTATAATAGTGATATTGATAGTAAAATTATATACAGAGACTACCGTGCAGAAGGGACTGATTCAAAGGCCAAAATTGTAATTAGTCCGGAGATTGTGCATACCACATCGCCCCAAGTGAGCTTTTGGTTTCCCCTCCTCCCCCGTCGGTCTGAAGATAAGGAAGTCGACAGCCATGCTAATAAGAGGTGATGATTGACAGAGTTGAGGTCATGGAGTGCCTTTGTTACGGCCGAGTATGAGATGTATATTTTGGTTGCACCTTTGTCGCGGTAGTTCTCACACTTGGAAGTAGACACAAAGATAACTGCGCCACAATCATCAGAAACGACATAATTCCTCAGTAGAACGAGCCCATTGGAGTGTCCGTAATATCAATTTGAGGATGAATACCGTCCTCTCGGGGCGCCTTGTTGTTACGTACTCACAGTAGTACACGGGGTGTTTCTTCCTAAACAGGAGGGTTCGTAAGACTCCTTAGACTGTAGAAGGAAAGAATTCTTCTCCCAAGGAGGGAGGAATGACAGTCGGTCAAACAGGGACACTGATGGAGAATAAGCCAGCTGGTTTGTCTTTTGCTACTGTAGGTTTTATGCATTCTCAAGGGATACAACCAATTAAGCGTGAGATGGAAGAACCCGACCGCAAGGAAACTTCGCGAGACCCTGAAGACGATCGCTACCTGTGTGAGTGATTCTCGCTTTTTCTCTCGGCCCTTACATTTCTTTTCACACCCATCGAGCCATCCGGCTGCTTTTTTGGAAATGTATTGAACAATAATTTCCCAGATGGCCTGATATTAAGGTCGTTGTGGAGGCATTCACATCGAGGTATTGCAGAAAACTTTCCAGAAGGAATGAGACCATATTAGTAATAATGACACGGATTATAATATTAATGCACGTATAGAGAACGCCGTGCAGAAGGCACCGGTTCGAAGGCAATAATTGTAGTTAGTCCGGTGACTGCCCATACCACATCGCCCCAAGTGAGCTTCGGACACCACTATTTGGATTAAACGTCATCACCTATATTGCAATCGCTCTCGTAAAATTTTAGTGACAGAGGACCAAACAGAAAGCCTGTCGTCATGCAGGTGGAGGAATGGAGGGCTTTAATCCACCGTTCATCCTTTGGTATTCCTTCCTTCCCATTCAGTCTGAAGTGCGAAACCCCCAAACAAGAGATAATGTTCGGCAGAGTCGAAGTCATGGCGTGCCTTTGGTAAAGCCAAATATAGCAGTAGTTCTCATACTTGGAAGTAAACACAAAGATAACTGCTCCATATTTATCAAAAACGACATAACTCCCCAGTATAACGAGCCCATTGGAGTGTCAGTAATATTAATTTGACGATGAATACCGTCCTCTCGGGGCGCCTTGTTGTTACGTACTCACAGTAGTACACCGGCTGCTTCTTCCCAAAGAGGAGGGTTCGTAAGACTCCTTAGGCTATAGGAGGAGGTGATTCTTCTCCCGAGGAAAGAGAAATGACAGTCAGTCGTATTAGAGCGCTCTCTTTGTGACTTTTAGTACTCATTTAGTCCTAGAATATGTGTGCATAAGGCTTTTTAGAATGACACGATTCTTTCCTTAATCAATTAGGAGGAGAACTATTAAGATTTCTCCTGACAGCACTACACAGAAGGTACATGAGCGATGTGCTTCCTATTGTGGGAGGCGGCGGAGTTCTAGATCCACACTAATGATATATTATTATTGTTACCTGAATCCCGAATATATTCACAATAGAAGGGGAACAGAACAAGCCGTCTTCTCTGGTCCTTCTTTTCGTCTTTTCTGACTGCCAGTCCTCCATGAAGCTTCATATCTGCGTTTCAGCAGTTTTATGTTGGTACAACGAAGCCGAAACCTCGTCTACACTCTCATTGAAAGACCAACTACAGTCTTCTTCATTGACATACCGAACTTAGCACTTGACTGTTTTGAAGCCATCCCAGTCAAATATCGTTGGGCGTAGTTATCTTGTCCGGTTCACCAGTTCCAAAGTGTCCGTTATAACATCATTGTCGCTCAAGTGCGATATTTCAATCAGACGCGGTCACGATGCACCTTTGGAAGCAGTTACAATAAAGTCGGACCCATGTTCGACATCGCCTCTAAGCGCGTTCCAACTACAACAACAATTGCCTTCTCATACCAGGAAAAGTAAACGAAAGTGTCAAAAGAGGGGTACCGTGCCTAAGCAAGACACCTTAAGTTTTGTTTCCGGTTTCAAACTTGCTTGTGGATGAAGATAGATTCTGCAAACGCGAATTAAATTAGCAGCCAGGTTATTTGTGCATTTGTGTAGATGACTTATCAAGACCGTGACTCCGCATAGCTGCTCACACCTTACCGTCTCCCATCTATTAGACTGGGTGCTGAACTGATATTTGGCTGTTTTCTCCATCATTTTTTGAACGAGTTCATACTGTTGTGTATCCATTCATGTTCCAAAGCGGTTGTAGATGGCTGCAAAGTACTTTGATAAATTTGTTCTGCTAAATTTGCTTATTTTATGTCAACCTCAAAGAAGGAAAGCTCTACGTAGTCTTTTTTGACTTCGAAGGAGACAGAAAGTCATTGCGCTTTGGTATAGTAGCTCGGTACTCACGCGGTTGTCACCTTTTGCGAGAATTTCAACCTCATCAAACTTGTTAACATAATGTCCCATCGAATAAGCCGTGACCTGAGAGCCAAGATCCTGCGACATGTTCGGCAGTTCGCGTCCAGCGGTCACACGTTCCACCGACCAAGTCGTTTCCTTAACTCCTTTCTGGGCAAGATGTGGTTTGGTAGCCCACCTGATGGACGCAATACTGCTGGGGTTGGTGTTAGGGGTTAGGGTTGGAGGTGGGGGTTTAGGTGAAGAGGTTATAGTTAGGGATTGGGGTTAGGGTTAGGGGTTAGCACAACTATTTCTCAACCATCAAAAATACAACCACGCACTCCCAATAGCCTTTCTTTTGAAAACAACTACTTGACCTCGTCGCCTACTTGATCACCTATTACCACTGGTTCCATATAAGAGGTGACTGGGTTTGTTTAATTCGGGTGGATCACCAAACCACATCCGACCCCTTTCTGGAGCTCGTCTCTTCCCTTCTATCGGCTGTACTTAGCTTCTGCCGATTGAAGTGCAGGATGCAGTGGCTCCCTTATGATATCTCTCGCCAATGTAGTATTTGCGTGAGAAAGGTCTGATTCACATGAGTTGATGGACCAGCGCGTCTGTGCCACTTGCGTACTGGACTACGCCGGTCTAACTGCCGTGTGTTTGCCCCATATTCAGTCACATCGAATTTGCTCTGCCATTGCAGCATGGTAGGTTTCGGGAGAGAGGGTGAGGTCACAGCCACAAAAGTCACCCATTTTAATTAAAGACGCATTGTCTGAATATATGCCCCGCCGAAATTGGTTGGCTTTTACGCAGTGAGTACCTTCTTATTCGCTATTAGCCCGTTTTCTTCGAGGGTGGTTGTGTAATGCCCCGTACGTGGATGGGAGCTCTTCACAACAGCCCGTTGACTTAAGGCCAGTAGGTCAAGCATTCAGGTCGTTTTTCAAAAATCTATATCAATTTTGATTAGCGTCTTCCATCCAGCCGTTATGTGCTCGCACCTTCAGGCATCGCATGGGTCTATTCGGCCACATGCGCATCCACGAGAGCGGAATTGACCACAATTCCGATACAGCCACGACATCCAACATATCCACCATGCCCAGACGCATCCTCGCTCCACCGTCACACGCGCCGACCACCACCACCAACACCACCGCCTCCTCTACAGCCGGCACCGACACCGCTGACCTCTCATGCCCACATTGTCCACGCACCTTCACCTCACGCATCGGCCTGGTGGGTCACTTGCGAATCCATCGCACAGAGACTGGCGAACCAGTGCCTGGAGCACCAACCTACACCCACCGCACTCGCCTCCACTGCCCACACTGCCCTCGCACCTTCACGCATCGCATGGGTCTATTCGGCCACATGCGCATCCACGACGACCTGCGGTAGACAACCGCCGGTCACACCACACATTCCCTCACTCTCTACCTCCTAACACCATCACCCAATCAGACATCAACCCCCACTCACCTCATGCACTCAGCTGCCGCCTCCCACGCAAGTGGGAAGTGTGCATCTCGACCCGGTCCCCATGCGGCCACGGCTGTACGGGTGACTTGTGTCCGAGACTATCCCGACACTTCAAGTGTCGTGGATAGGAAGGTTGCTGATTGAGGCCCGCTCTCGGCTCACGCAGTCCGTCACGTTGTGTGTGTGTGTTGTGTGGAGTGGCGGACTGGTGGGCTGAGGACGGGCTGCAACAGCACCTTCCACGGCCCTCTCACGCAAGTGAGAGACACGCCGTTCAACCCCCGTTGTGTGAAATCCTGGTGTTTGTGTGTGTATGGGGGGCCAGGTCGTGCTGTGGCGCGCGCAGTCATGGTCAGTCGACCATGTCAGCCACCGCGCCCATTCCCCACTCCAGTCTACTGACCGGCTCGGACAGTGGTTGGGGTGTGGGAATGGGAAGGGAGAGTGAGGTCGACGACTCAGCGCATTTTCCTCACTATAATCAATCTGACGCGCTTGAAGCTATCACGGTGCGCTAAAAGCCGTGGCTTGGAAGGTTGCCAACTGACGGGATACCTTGGACCTCCTCCTTAACGGGAGGCGGTCTGAGAGTCAGGCTGCAATGGCTCCTTTTTAATGTGGCCTTTATGGCATTCCCACCACAGTGTGGGATCCGAGCCAGGCGTTGGCGGCACGCCCAGGTGCGGCTTCGGCCGTGCCAGCCCCCAAATCTCTGTGGTGTTGGTTGAAATCCTGGTTATTGTTGTGTGGACCAGGGGGTGTGGTGGAACGCCAAGGTGAGGATCCGTCCGAACCATCCACCTGCGGCCTCCCTCGTCTCCGGTCTTCTTGACTCTGTCTTGACACCGGGCCCAGGCGGGGGAGGAGGAGAGAGTGTAGGTAGATGCAGCGCAAGTCTACCGGCACTATAAACCCCTGCGCAAGTCACCGTCCCTGCTCCCACCGCTGCTGCAGCTGTGGGGCACACGGTGGTCATCGTCGAAATCGATGGACGAACTGTCGGTTCCCAAGCAATGTGCTGGCGATCCGCGGAAGTTCAAATGTCCGACAATTAGGGCCGTCGATGTGTTGTGCGGCTTTGGCGTGTGGCCACCTCTCGATCATGAAAATAAACGATGCAACTGCATTTCTAGGTGTTAGCATTTGGCCTCCTCTGTTTACCAGACAGCAGGCCATGTTAACTGCTTTTTGACAGCCCGCGGCAAACATGAAAGCCGGCTGTGAAGATGGTGGCTGGTGAGTTATAATGTGGACCTGATGTCGAGGATTTTTTGTGCGCATTGTGATTGGTTAGTAATGGAATGGCATGCATATATTCGTGCCATAAGTCCTACTGATTATCTATGTTCATCACCGGTCTGGTATGGAGTAATGGTCTTGAAGTTGTGGTGCGCCACTTTAAATCTCTGTTCACAGAGAAGATTTTTCGAGAACTCTTTTACTGACTGACTGACCACTCGTAGTGAATAGACCTGAAAGATGTCCGACGATGGAGTTGATCTCGCACAAAGATACCCAGGATAGAATGGTATTACCGAGGGAGACAAGGGAGACTGGGACGGCCATTTCTGGCTTATTAACCGTCCACGCCTCTAACCACTGGGCGCGTTCGGCCTATATGATGCGCAGCTGTGTGGCTGCTGGTAGGGCTCGAGATAGAGCCTGTAAGGCACGACGGAAGGAGTGAGTTCCGTAAGAACGATCGGCGATCGGTCCTCTATCATCGAATATTCCCAATCGAAACCGACGGGACACTGGGCCCGTGGCCCAGTGATTAGAGGCCTGGACTTCTAACTAACAGGTCGCGAGTTCGATATGGCCGTGGTGTTTGTATGCTAGCAAACGGGTCAGAACAGTACAAAACACCATGTTTTATCTGTTAAATCGTTCTTTCTTAAAATTTTCAGCACCTCGAGACCACACTTGTGAGTTCTGTGGCAAAGTCTTCCTACGGAAAGGACACTTGAAGGAGCACGTCAATGGTGTCCACAAGCGTACGTTTCTTACCCCTCACCGATTGTCCTGTTTCGATTGTCGGTTGATTGGCCTTTAATATCGCTAAAGTGAGAGGTGGTCCTTGCATTTTGGTCAGACAGAAAGATGCTCTAGTGGCTACAGGTCCAGTCAAGTGGCGTGTATTGACCTGTTATCGACCTGTCAACGTGGAGGGCTAAACGAGCACGTCCGCGACAAGTCAGTGATGACGATACGTCATCTAGCAGGACAATCTCTCGGTTGAGGGCGTTTAAGACACCCTAGCGGGGCGTGGTAGGGGAGTGCCAGCTTTGACACGTCGGTTTGTCCGATCGCGTACCTTCTCCCCCAAAAATCCTAGATGTCAGGAGTCCTTTTAACACAAGCCGGCAAGCCTAGTTTAAAACTATGGGCACAGTAAACACTAAAGAACCTAGAAGATTACGTCAGACGCAGATGATCCAACATGCAACAGCGTCTAGGGGAAGAGGCCATCTCTGAAATCTCGGCTTACTAGGGGCGGCGCAGCCACACTTTCAGGTTCAAGAAGGGAGAAATTCTCGCGTGAGCTGCTTGAGTCGTTGTTTTCCGGTTCATTGTTCGTCAAAAGGCGCAGTCATCTTCCCCACGCCTACGCAGCGTTAAGCCCTTGTCTGGGCAGAGTAATTATTCACGCGCTGAGTGTGTGTGTGTGTGTGTGTGTGTGTGTGTGTGTGTGTGTGTGAACGCTTCCACCAGTGATAGCGCCAGTGAGCCAAGTTTCTTGGCTAATTATAACGCTAGTTGTCGACAGTGGTGATTAAATCGCCACCAGTAACGACTAGAATGGATGCAGAAGTATTTGACCTAGTTAATGACAGGGGAACGGGGAGGATGCTGTAAGCCTGACTTACGCGCTTGATGTTCGTCAGCTGGCAATTCGGCAGAGTCCAGCGTGGGTGGTGCACAGACGTGGAGGACCGAACCGACGCGTTTAGACGAACGCAAAGTAGCACCGGTTCAAACGCAAACCAGGGGAAGATTCAGCGCTGACGCCCCTCTCTCCCCTAACCCCCGTACGAATGGCCTTTGGTCAGCAGGAAATTTGCGCACCCACGAACACCGTTAACTGCTGTGTAGCGTTGTCTTCCTCTCGCAACTTCAGGGAACTAAGTGATCAACGACGAGGTTTGGTTCTGCAGCCCTACCTGAGTGATACCATATGGGTAGCTTACTAAAACCATATTAGTTAGCAAACCTAACTTAGCCGCTCACTGCATTGGGAAGGGAAAGTAAGCGCTAGCAGAGCTCGAAGCATGCGCAGGGAAGCGAGTGAAGGTAGCATGTACTCACTCTCTCCCCGACATAGCAACTGACTGGACTGAGAGGATGAGAAGGGCGCAATCACAACTGGAAGCCCACGGAGGGAATCGCGTGGTAATTTGCAATGCATGAGCTCTGTAGTGGAACCGACGGAGTTCCACACCATCCGAACAGTTCCGTTAGAATGCCTACCTAACTGCTCGCTGGATTGAGATGATAAAGAGGGCTCAAACGGGGTTCGAAGCACGCGCAGGGAAGCGCGTTTGAACTGTGCCTAAAGTGACCGAGACTGGTGTATGAGTAATCATCCCCCCTGGCACAGTCACTCTGAATTAAAAGGGCGAGGAAGATGCAAGCACGTGATATTTGTAAAGTTCGCGTATTCATTTTTTGGAGATCTCGGGCAAACGCGTGTGAATAAAACCTAGTCCTTTCGGCATCTACACGTTTTAATTTCCCTTACAGGGCTGCGTGATTATACGTGTGACGACTGTGGTAAGACTTTTGCACGCAAGGCCGACATGAAGACGCACATCAACGCTGTCCACAAAAGTACGGTTTGTTTCCTTCACTGATTGGCTACCTGCGTTTGCCGCGGATTTCCTGCTAATTTGGTGTCTTTCTCCTGCACAGTGCATATTTTCTTACTGTTTTTTAAAAATTAGGAGTAGCATTTTGAGGGTGTAAATTTTTCAGAACAGAAATGGACATAGCAGAAGTAATAATAACCCCCCCAATAGAAGCGAAAAGGCGAGTTCCAGGAAGTAGTCGCGGAGGAGAAGGAGACATGATCGCTGGAACAAGTGCCTTATTAACCCGACGTTTCGGATTCCCACTCGAATCCATCATCAAAGACAGTCATATAAGGGTATTAGATTGCCCAGGTATTGCAATATTTATAGGATGTAGTTGGTGGGCCGCTACATGCCTATCACAGTTCGCAGCTCCCGAGGGCATCACAGATCGACTGACCCGGTGTTGAAGGACGCGGTTGCCATGCTGTTGCTATGCGCCTGTATGCCGGTCAAGATTATCAGCTCCCACGCTCATCGCACGCCGCCGAGTGGCCGACTGCCGGATTTCGTCATCCGTGGGAATTCTTGGGTGATTTGTCTCGTCGACATTGATACCGGGGACAGTGGTTATCTGCACGTTCTCCTCGCGGCAAATTACTTTGCCTAGGCTAGGTCTCAGCGCCAAATATGGAGCGGGGAGGTCTTTGCGCTTGTTGACTGACTGAGTATCGGAAAACCATGACTGAGCAGTCCACGGCTCACGCGGTTGTCGCCTCAGCGAGGACTTCTGTTTCGTCAAACTTAGATGTGTGGTTGGGTCCCGTGGAATGAGACGCGACTTCGGAGTTGGCGTCGTTCCTCCCCGCTGCCACCGCGTGCCCGGACAACCGTGTCCGGTGCAGTCTTTTGGTTTCTCCGACATAGTTGCCTTGCCCGCAACTCCTCCTCAACAACAACAACAACCCTGCTCTCCCTCGAAAGCCTTGGTTTCTGCTTGCTTTTGTTGGGTGAACGTCCAAATTCGATTATCAGCCTCCGAAAGGACGTTTTCGATAGTATGCTTATCATGCATCCTGTTACTTGAATTTTAATGCTCTATTCGACGAATTTTTGACTGTCTACCCCGAAGTAGATGCATTTGAGTCTGTGCCCACATTGTTTATTCGTTTGGTGGCAGCATGTGCCACAAAACCGCAAAAAAAGAACGTGGCAACTTTATACGGCAAAACAATTTGGGGACTTATTTCTACTGAGGGGACACGAAGTGTAAGCATGAGGACATGCTTCAGTACTTAAACGATTTAAGGCTTGGTAGGAAATGCACAGCTTGGAATTGTGTGCGTTAATATGGGGTGACATCATTGGGGGGTTGTTTTCTTGGTTCAGCTCAGTCAGGCATTGTGGATGGTATTCAACGATGGCGTTGGAGTGGTGCTTGGAGGTTACCGCGCTCACGGGACACACTGCATTCTGGGGGTTTTTGAAATTGACCAACTATGTCTGTGTGTTTTTCGACTAGTCGAACCATTTAAGAAAAATGTGTTAGTTCAAACTGCGTCAGTATGCTGTCAGATGTCGTCCGGCAGTTCGACTGTCGTGACCGTCGATTTTCACTGTGTGCTCCACACCAGGGTGAAGCAGGGACGCTGACTTGTGCGTGATTTAGTTTTTAGTGATTGCAGACTTGCGCAGCATCTACAACACTCGGCCTTCCCCACATGGGCCCGGTGTCCAGACAAATTCAAGAGGGTCGGAGACAGGGGAGGGGGCAGGTGGATGGCGCGGCCGAGCCTGCACCTTGGCGTTCCACTCCACACTCCCTGGTCCTGGTTGAGCAGGCCTTTAACCAACGACAACACCACAATGGGTCAGAAAGAGGAGAAGGACTGGGCAGACATGTTCACGGCCTGCATACCCAGCGGGAGCGTCAGCACACCAGGTTGCAGGGGGCCATGGTTTGTTGATCCTGCTATAGCTGACGCTTACAGACCTGCCGTGGCCACTTGTATTTCTTGCACCCCGCACACGCTTTCTTAGGCTGTGAATGAAAATAATGAGCCTTGACGTCTCATACGTCACAAGTAGCATTGATCAACTGTGCTCCTCTTCTATCCGGCTGCTTGCTGGTCAAAGATAGGTGCGTCAAAAGCAGGCTGTCGCGTAGGCTGGGTGGTACGTTTTTGCGAGGCAGTCATGGAAACAGACTTGCTTCCACCACGGAAACTTCCTTTTGTAGTGAGCTGCCATTGTTCTCCCTCTTTACCAGGAACTGACTTCCTTTGCATTTGCAACTGGGTCACAACATTTTTGATACTTTTATTCAACATTTCACGATTGTTGGTCGGTATTAGCCTTTGTTTATTTTTCAGAGCTGCGAAAATACATCTGTTCAATCTGTGGCAAGGCCTATGCAGTGAGCTTCAAACTGAAGGAGCACGTTGACATCGTCCACAAAAAAAGCTTGTCCGCTCGGCTGGAATCGCTGAGTAGTACAGCGTGCGGTCAAACGTGGCTTTTTGCGATACAACGAAAAGAGGGGTTCTGTCTGGCTGAGTATTTCCAGACAGAAACGTCTGTACATTGTCTCCTGTCATTCTAGCGGACAGAAGATAAACTCGGTGTTGTGGGAATTCTTAAAACCCGACATTATAAAAACATCCATGTCTTCACGGAGGGGCCAAACAATTTTCCCAATAAGGGCTTCATCTAGTGAGAAGTCACTGCCTGTTACAGTCTGTATGCCTATTTCGTCTGTCGAAGTATTCTGGGCTGACCCCACTCTTGAGCCCTGGTTAGCATAAAGGCTTTTTCCAGCGAGGCAGTCCTCTGCCTGGCCATTTCGTTCAGCTCTAATCAGAAGACATGTTAAGAGCATAAAGCCTTTTCGTTTTTCAGACCTGCGACGACACACATGTGAGCTCTGTGGCCAGCCCTTTGCACGCAAGGCGCACATGCGAAGGCATGTCGACATCACCCACAGAAGTACGTCCTTCCCCTCCCCCCCGCCCCCCATCACCTCTTAACGGTTTCCACTTTATTGCCTCCTTCATATGATCTTTTTGCTGGTCGTATCTGTCTGTAGACTATTCTACATTTCCGCCTCAATGGCGTGAAACCTCAGTGTTAGTAATGATGCAAGTAAACTGCCTGGACTTTGGAATTTATAGTAGCATCTTAGCAACACAAAAACATATTTGTTGTTTCCACAGACTGCCGGCCGTTTCTCGCAAATGTGCGAATAAGTTGAAGAAGTATACTCCTTCCTGGGTGCTCATCGGGACCTAATTAATGTGTTAAGCAAGACAGTCCTAGTTTTTATAGTCCAAATATATCACAAAATGACTTGGCTTCTCTCGGAGGAGAATTTGGTGCTGCATGGGATTCAGGCGCCATTTCGGAGAACACATGAAACATTGCTTAACCTGAATGATTTGACAAGCATTAGCCAAGATTCACAAAAAAGCCTAAACAACTCTAAACTCATCCTTAGTTAGTCGCTGAAGTATACATAGTCTTTCTAGAGCCACTGTCTGTGTTGTGTAAACTCACCTCAGTTACTTACTGTTAGTTGTCATGCAGTTGTCTGTCTGCACGGGGTCCTTAGCTCCAAGAGAAAGTAGAAATATTTGTTTTCTTTCTGCAGTCAGGATCAGTCGGTTCGTTCCGCCCTCATGTGAGACTAAGTTCTCCCGATCTCAGCTGGCGTGACGCGAGCCCGTTAATGCCGCGGTGAGTGTCGTTCAGTTATCAGCTGATCAGGGGGTTGGATTCTCGGGTATGCAGTACGACATTGACGTATCATTGGTTGATGACGACTGATAAGCCAGAACCGACCATTTTGGTTTTCCTGTCCTTGTCGGTATACACTCCCCAATGATCGCATCTACAGGGAACTGGGGAAAAATGTTTTACTGGTATCGTTAGTGAAAGATTCGGGAGCTGTTAACCGTTTGATTACAAGTATTTCAAGTCGGACATTCCAGCGGGCACTCGAATGCCACAAAGGAGGCTGTAATGGAGAACTTGGGTGGTGCGAAAATGAGGAGCCTATTGCCACACTGTTTTTGTTATGCAGATGTCTGCGGAATCAGGTGGAATGTGGGCGGTGGTTTCCCGCGTGGGCCTGTTTTTCGATTTAGTGCTCTCACATCGCGTAGGTTGCTTTCTGCATGAACGAGGGCCTTTTCGGTGTATTCATTATTTGGAACAGTCGTCGCAGTACAGCCTGCAGCCAGACCACGCGAGGAGAGGATGGACGGGCATGAGGTATATTGAGTACATGACAGTTTGATCGTCGATTCCACAAGGTGCCAGCTGGCGCGTGAATTACTTTTGTATTGGGAGTAGACTTGCACAGCATCAATCACACTACCAATAGAAGCGAAGAGACGAGCCCCGGGAAGCAGTCTTGAAGAAGCAGACACGATCGTTGGAACAAGAGCTTTATTAGCTTGACGTTTCGGATTCCTGCTCGAGCCCATCATCAGAGACAAACGCAGATACGGGTGGTTAATTCATAAGGGACTGCAGTATTTATAGGATGCAGTCGCCATGCTACCGCATATCTATGAAAATTCACGGCGCCCCCAGCCCCTTCATCAGAGATCGTTGCACGTTGTGTGATGGCCGACATTCGCGTCGTTAATTGCCGCAATTTCATCACGTGCGTTGGACGTTGGTGTGATGATTGCTCGACCATCTGATACACCGACCCTGGCGTCGGACAAGGGTTCACCTGTGCGCTTCCTGCGTGGTTAATTATTCCGCCTAGACGGGTCTCAGCATAAAGTATGGGAGGGAAGGCCGTTAAACTTGTTAATGGACTGGGGGTCAGTTAAGCATGACTCAAGCAGCTCGAGGCTCACGCGGTTGTCGCCGCTATCGAGAATTTCGGCCTTTTCGAATTTGAGTGTGTCGCCATCTCTCAAGTTGCGGCTCATTCGACGAGATCCGGCTACACATTCAAATTTGACGAGGCCCAAATTCTCGCAAGAGGTGACAACCGCGTGAGCCGGGAGCTGCTTAAGTCATGTGATATGATGTAATAGAACAGATCCTGTCCGCTTTTGCGGAAGGACTTCTTTGTACTCATCTTACCGTCGAAGAATACCACCCTTAGCAAACATCTTCTCACCCACTAAAAGCCGTCGTTGTTTTGATAAGTCAGTGGCCTTTGTTTCTTCGCCGAAGATTGATGAAGGAATGTATAAATCTATCAGATACGTGCCGTTTTCTCACTGATAAAGATGCTATCTCTTTTTCAGACTTAATAGTTCGTTGTTTTATTGTTTCAGCGGCCATTTTCGTTATTGTCACATATTTCGGTGCCGCAATACTATTTTCGATTTTATTTGACCGATTGAAGGCGTACGCCGCGGATGGTTGGGTACACTGCCTTCACCCAAGTTAATGCCTCCTTACGGAAGAGCGTGTGTAAGCGCGCAGATTTGATCAACACCAGTTATCGCCAACTGTCAGCTTTTGCTTCATGAAACTGTGTTCTGCTCGGCAGCCACGATATGGCAATTCCCTCAATCATGTGTCAAAGCAGCTATGTGTGCGTGCTGGAGTTTCTTCTTCACGGTTAAGCCCCGGCCAATAGACGAGAACCAGCCAAGTTTCACACGTAAACATTATATCTCTGCTCTGTCAGGCTCATATTCCGGCAATCCGCATGTAGTTCGAGCTAATTTATGTCATTTTACCTCTAAACCCGAGTATTGTTCCACAGTAGGACCTGACAGATGCCTGGCGCGTCCAGGGAACCCTATCTTGGAATGTACAACTTTCCATCTCACATGGAAGTGGCCAGAAATATAACCTTGAAGTGTTGCTACCCACGCTGGCTGTGGTTCACGGACGCTAAATGTGCAGTTATAGCAACAGCCGTCCTTCCAGCAAACTATTATCGTTCCGCCCGGCAACCTGGAATGTCGGCCCTCTGGTAGCTAATCCAGCGTCATTCTGGTAGCCCACAAAACTGATTCCTTACATCGTGTTAATCGCTGTACTTCGTGAAGGAAGCTGAATGATGGTAGGGCAAGTTGCATGTTTACCTGGGGCGGCCGTCACAGAGAGAAACTCTATGATGGCTGAGTTGTCTCCATCGTCAGAGACGGTCTCACCGTCAACTATAACAGAATGAACGACTGCCTCGTCTCAATGAACAACTTTTCACCATGATCGACTCCAACACTCTTACGACCACGACGGCCGACAATTGTGTGGGGAAGTTCGAAAGAGGACCTGCGCTCTCGTCGAAGGCGGACAAAGTTATTGCATCGGTTAACTTAAACTCCCCGAATGGACAAGGACCGTGTCATCTGCGTAGGACTGAATGGCAGCCAGAACTCTTGCCGAAGACGCCTAAGTCGCGACTCATTCAATGGGACCCGGTCGCAGCGTCAGGTGTGACGAGGCTAAAATCCCCGCAAGAGGTGAAAAGCGCGTGAGGCATGAACTTTTTGAGCCATGCTTCTCCAGTCGGCATCCAATCAACAAGTCCAATGGCCCTCTGCCTTCATATTCTATGCTCCGATTTTGCCTGAGCATGCTACTTAAGTAGTCAATTTTCACAGAGTACGGTTTGCACAGGAGATTGAAAAGCAGTGCTTTCAAAAGCTGAGGTCCTGCCAAGTCCGAATTATTATAGGATTATACCGCAAGATAATCAGTAGTACAACCCTACCTAAGTAAGCCTTCCTAATCGAAAACGCATTTCAGAATTTTGACCAACGTTTCATGAGATCGGTCACTCACTGTACTTCTAGGGTCTAAACGCATTTTCTTTTCCAACATTGGCGTGTATGTTATCTGATAGCTGTTTGAATGTTTTGTCCAGAGTAAAGCTGACTATAATCTAATCATTATTTCTTTTCAGAAATACGACCGGGTACGTTTATGATTAATGAACTACTGGAGAAGCATGTCATCAGCGCTTACACAAAACGGGATAACCGTTTGTTTTTTTCTAACAAAATCGTCAACTGCTATCGCGGTTTTGCGTGTTCTTAACTTGCAGACCTGCTTTTTTCTATTTATGTCCCTCCTTGAAAGGAGGGTACCACCAGACATGATCGCACTGATTGCGTTAGGCGATCATTTTGTGGGATTTTAGTGTTTAATTTGAGCTGTCAGGTGTTTAATTATGCTGATGCAATTAACTGTGACTCATCACATCTAACACCTCTAAGGCTACTTTTACCTTTCGGTAATATCTTACCATAGCTTTGCTTCCATACTGGATTTTTTTTCGGCCGCAATATGCTTAAATTGAAGTATCAGTTTACAGGTTCTTATTTCTGGATTAGATATCTTCCAACTGGTTATGTATCTACTGAGAATAAAAGCGACTATGCTTTGCTCTTAATGGCAGAACCACGAGAGTGTCCATGCGAGATTTTTGGCAAGATCTTTTTTGGTCACCTACAGAGCCATATCGACTGCATTGACAAAAGTAGGCATGTCGGTTTGCATTTTTCAGAAAAAATCATCAATTTGCTTTTCTGGCCTTTTCCATAACTCTTCTTCTCCCCCCCCCCCCCATCCCCGACCTGTTTACTTTCTTGGGAATCGCAGATGCATGGTTAGAATTTGCGCGATATCGATTTTTTAAATCGCAGATGCATGGTTAGAATTTGCGCGATATCGATTTTTTACTGGGCGTTTTGTACTCAACGCAGTGACGGCAGCAGGGACCTGTTAAATCGCACCGCACGATCGTCAGTCAGATGCCGTCATCGGAGTTTGTAGTCTTTCTGTGGTGTGATCGGCTTCTTAGACCCCATCCCTTTCACATATTGCCCGCACGACTGCCACCGAATACATCCGCTGTCTGTCTGGGTAATGTGTCTTATCAATCAGTGCAACCTGAAGGCAACCAGCTGGCCAACGCTGTGAGTAGGACCGTTTGCACATACGCGTTTTAGACGACTGAAATTATTCCCCACCGTCCTCAACACGCTTACTCCGTCATGCGGGCGGCGTGGGAAAATGGAACCCGATTAACCCTGCACCTGAGACG